ACTAGACATGTCGCCAGTCCTCTCGTTTTTTTGCTTGCCTGGGGGGGGTTTCAATCATCGGAAACCATATTTAAGTTCAGACTGAAAGCTGTCTTTGTATTCACTCAAGCTTTATGCACAACCATTAGGAAAAAACTATTTCAATCAGCTCAAGCATTTAATTTTTAAAGTTTTATGTTTGCACATCAATAAGTCTATCGCAACTTACTTTCGTATTTTTAAATTTCAGCCTCATTCATATTTGTTTTAGCTAGACCGATAAATTCCATGCCAAAAAAATTTACTAAATGATGTTTCCGATTAGAATTATTGCCTATTTAGTTCTTATGATGCGTTCTGGAGGATAATTTTGAACCTTTTTATTGATTCTCTTGGTTAGAAGAATATTGATTCACCCAAATCGACTGACATTATCAACTATTATCCTTAAAAACCTAGGTTTTTATCAGAAAAAGAGGAAAAACAGGATTCATAGTCGAAAAGAGGTGGAAAAGAGGAGGTTCAGAAAAAATAGAGGAAAAAGAGGCGGAGTGGGAAGCCAGGCTTCGAATATTCTTTCTGTTGCTTGTTCAACAACAAGAGTTATTTTTTCTGTGAGTGTTTCGATGACTGGTATTTGATCTATGTTGTCCGTGGTTTTAAGAGCAGGATATTCGTCTAGATTATTCCAGTCGGGACAAGTTTGTGATCATTTAATAAGTTTTGTTGTTGCTGAATATTGATCGATGGTTTTTTTTGTATTTTCTGTTGGTATTCTGTGAATTTTGGACACTCTACCGATGTTGATTGCTGTTGGGATGCTAGTAGTACTTATGATTTGCAGCTCCACATCTCGAACAGATTTGGTTTTCAGATCTACTGTACTTTTCCACATGCCTATATTTGAAACCCTTGTAGCACTAACATGTTTTATTATTATGAGTGAAAGTCATTTTTACTGTTTTGAGAGACTTGTTTTCGCTATTCAACAGGCATGTGATTTTTTGATATTTAAATTCCTGATCATCTAGTGATTGTTGAATATCATCATGGTTGATTAGTTTGTATATTTGAGATTTTAACATGTGATAGATAATTTTTTATGAGAAGGTTTAATTTGACTTTTCATAAGTGCTTCAGTTTCAACTATTAATGGTGAAACTTCAAAACTAGTTTTGTTTTTGTTGTTTGTTGTTTTTCATCAACAGTTCTTGGTATTTGAGATATATTGGGAGTTGATGCCATTGTCCTTGAAATGTCTTGTTCATTTTTTCTACGTCCGTGAACACCCCCGCCTCTTTTTGGCGGCATATTGATTCGATGTTGGTTGCAGTAATACTCAATGATGTATCGGTTAATTCTGTTAACCTTTTCTTTTTTAATTAAATTAAATTGACTTTTCACTCGATTGATCTTTCAGTGCGAACGAGAGAAGAAAAGAAGTGATATGTATATCTAATCGGTAGGGCATCAGAAGAATGAATATCTCAATTATTACATAGAACCAAAGTCGGATTAACTTACTTTAATTGCTTTTTTTGGTCAAAGCGCCATTCCTTTTTGTATTGCCTGAGTATTATGATGTTATTCTGTCTTTTTTGTCCTATCATGATGATTGAGAAAAAAGAAAATAGCGAATTACGGTTCAAGGTCGATAGCTATGACTGTGAAAAAGACCAGGTGTATATCTACGTATATTTTTTTCTCTTCACATAATTTCAATATGTCAATCGAACCTTATTTTTCTTGCATCTCACAATGATAATGTTTTTTTTTTCTCTTCATAATCCCTATGTCCACACATTGAATAGTATTTAAAGAAATCGAATCGACAGAAAGAAATAGAGTAATCAGCTAAGAATCTTCATTCGATACAAAAAAGAAATATAGTACCAAAAATGCTTGCCTACAACGTTGTTGTTTTATTCATGATAACGTATGTTACTGCTCAACAAACTTGTCAGTTAACTGATCCGGATATTCTTGGACCCTACTATCATCCTGGTGCACCTGCATCTAAAGAGCAACTTTGCGCCAATTTACCGGCACATGATCGATTGATTTTAACTGGACAAGTACTCGATTACGAATCGAAATGTGCACGTGGTGTTCCCAATGTGAAATTGGATTTATGGCAGGTAAAGATTCTTGTCGAATTGAAAAAAATAATTCGATTCATGTGTATTACTCTAGGCTAATTACAATGGTGTGTATTCTGGTGGTCAGAATGCTAGTGATTGGTGGTGTCGAGGTATCATTAACACAGATTCCAATGGCAAATTTCGTATTAGTACTCTGTTCCCTGGTCGTAAGTGTGACTTGTTTAGAATTATTAGATATATGATATACTCTAATTCTAAGGTTACGATGACGGTGGTTACCGTCCGGCTCACATTCATTTCAAGGTTACTGCTGACGGTTATCCAACATTAGTAACCCAATTGTATTTCAATCTTGATTATTATCTCTCACCACGTGATTCATGCACACGCTGTAAGTATAATTTCTTGTAATAGAAAAAGAAAAATCTCGAATTTATAAACATTTTTCCAGGTCGTAGTGATGCCAAATCGTTGGTGGTATCAGCCGTACATCGTGATGATATCAAAACGTTCGAAGGTAATTGGAATATTGTCTTGTCGAAAACTCCAAGAGCCGTCTCACGAGCGATAACACGTGAAACATTGAACCGAGGCTCGTATATTCACGTGAAAGAACATATCATGCACTCGCGTCGCCCAACAACTATCGGTGACTTACTCAATATGGGGCAGTAACAACCATAGATAGAATTGTTGTTTCATGAAAACATTGCCATTATACTATTGATCTGTCTTTTTACTCTAGCTAACATATATTCTACTGCTATCGTTTTTTTTTTCTATCAAACATAAATATCTCTATTGGGTCATCTTTATTGTCTTCACTTTTAAATATCAATGATTCAAACCACGTGATGGATCATCGTCCGTATCGTGAATGGGCGACATTGATCGGTATCAAGATGTTGTTTGGTCATAGGTATCTATGATGTGGATGATTGCACATATAGAAATTGAAGATTCCAAATGTTCGATGGGTAAATTGAATATTGCTCTTTTAGCAATACGTTAAATAGGATTGATAAACCATCGTTAGTCGATCGCATCGATAATGTTAATCCAAAACAGATTGATGAAATACTACTACTTGTGATCGATAGATTCTTTGATTTAAAATCGATCACACTATCAGTTGTCAATTGATCGAGCAGTTTTTTTCGGGTACATATTCAACTTCGTCAGTTATACTTTATTTGAGAGTACTTATACTAATGATACTCGTCCTGAGGTAGACTTGCTGCAGTGCTAATCGAACGATACTCTGTCTTTCTTTGTCTCACAATTTTCTCTCCATAATGATCTTATTCAATAACAAGACTTGGCATGGGATGTACTTGGCGTGAAACGATGATCTGATTTCGAATCAAATTAACAAAGTTTGGACATCAACCTGGAAGATTTGCTAAAGAATTTAGAACTCTGTCAGATATTGACTTGAGATCAATTCTATGAGAAACACAAATTCTCAACTTGTACAGAATTGGGTGTGAATGACAGGTGTGTGGGTGCGAGTGTACGTGAAAAGAAGAGGAACACCCTACATCTACACCCACAAAGAAATATCTCCAATTAGCAAGAGAAATGAAAAAAAACATTTTGAGAGTTGACCGTATCATCACGGCTTCTTTTGGAAACGACGTTGCAAAAAGCCAAACGGAAATGAAAACTTTCACTGAGATTATAAACTAAAACGTACATCATAGAGAATAAAGAAAGATATCCTAGAAATGAATACTATGGATTCATCAGCAATATTTCATTTTTTAAAGAACATGATATTCGATAAGAATTGAAATTGAAGTTTCTCTTTTTTTTATAATTAAAAAATCAACAATGAATTCATAGTGACTTTTGTGATGAATCTAACTCGATTTCACTATCTAAATACGTTTCTAGAAAATAGAAAAATCTACTAGAACTTCCGATTCTCAAAAGAAAATTGTAGTGATTTTCTACAGCTAATTGTTCTATAACCCGTAACTGATTATAAGTCATAAATAAGTAATAGAGATAAACAAACAACATTGAATAGTTTCACATTTTTTCTTCAAAACTCAATAAAAATAAATAGAAGTAGCACAAAACTTTGCATCAAAAGATTGTTAGAAAAAAGAAATGCGAATGAAGATATGAGCAATACTTTAGCTGCCACAAAGCTCATCTATGTGATTCAATTAACGAAGGAGTAAAGTCTAACGGCAGACGGGAAATATTTAAAAGAATATTTCGAAAGAAAAACAGAATGTCTTAAATTACCATACTCGAGTTTAAACTTAAGAAAATTACACGAGAGACAGCATAGTTTAGAAAAATGAAGAAAAACTAACACTATTTGCTTTATTTACGGAAAAAGAATTAAGCCTTAAATTCTTCTTCTTTCAAAAAAGAGTAAGCAAATCGTTAGATGAGCGTTACTTGTAATAGTTATATATATATATTGCTTAACATTGTTGACTGTTAGTGTTATTTAAAAACTAGAAAATGCATTCTATTATTTCTTAGACACGAATCAACAAAGCCGTTTAATAGTTGCATTATCGTTTTTTTTTTTTAAAAGATCGATGAGTAAATTATATGATATAGTTACGCATTTTCCACTCTTGAATCAAACACAATTGTTTACACCGACTGGTATAAATCAATTTGAGATGTAAACGACAAAAAAAACTCAATATTGCTTTAAGTTTTTTTCGTGTCTATAATATAAATTTTAGGGCAAAATGTATAGTTATTGTTCGTTTACTGAATTTTATTGAAGGACTTTAGTCTAAATATCCATACGATACAATTCGAGCAATTAACAGTTCATTTTATAATAATGATTTAACAAAATTAATTTTAACTTGTGTATTTAATCGAACATAATTAAGATTTAATATTAATAATGAAGCTGAAATCAATGACAACTCATCTACCTGATCAATTATTACAATTCTTCTATGATATTGCATTAGAAATGACGAAAACTGATGGGTTCATATAGATGTTGTCTTATCTCATAGAAATTAAACTTATGAATAAAAGTCAATCGGAGATATGAATAAAGATCATAAAATCTTAATCCTAGAATTTTTACAAAAAATAACTGCATCTTGATTTAAGACTCCAAAATGATACGAACAGACATCTGTCAACAATATCAGAACTCTACAAAAAATATTCAGCTAGAGCAACAGAATACAAATAAGCTCAAAGATTTTGCTAGAAGCTAATCAATATATTGAATACTTAATAAAAACTAATAACGAAATAAAAAAATAGATAAAAAACCAAAAAGAATTCAATGAATTATCAAGAATAGAATATTCAGTTAGTTATCATAAAATTTTCTTTTCACATATTATTAATCATAAAATATTCGAATATAATTTAAGAGTTTAAAATTTAATCAAAGAATTAAATCTGAATTCTGTTCGTTGATCACTTGTATTTACTATTACTCGTAGACATCCTCTTTTACATCATATTCGATTATGAACGAAATCATATCAATCTGAATAAGGGTGTGGGTGAGGGTGTAGGTGTGGGTATGGGTGGGATGTGGGTGTGGGTGTGGGTGTGGGTGGGGGTGTGGGTGGGGGTGGGAGTGGGTGGATGTGGGTGTGGTTGTGGGTAAACAGATGTTTCAAACCGGCACCCACACCCACGCTCACACCCATACCCACACATGCCCGCATCCACATCGACACCCACACCCACATCCACCCCACACCTCACAACCACCCACACCCACACCCAAGATAATTAAGCATAGTACTCTGGCGACAGTTATTATATCACAAACGGGCAAGTTTGCTATATCGGCATCGAACTGTATCACTGGGATCTATATAGGAGAACTATTTCCAACATCGATCCAAAGTACTTCGAATGGCTTTACTGTTGCCGTCAGCCGTCTAGGTGCAATCACAAGTCCTATCATTGATGCTTCGATTCACGAACAATACTTACCCATCACATTCTATGTCTGTGCGGCTTTGACACTCATATCAGTTCTACTGAGCTTAGCCTTGCCTGAAACGAAGGATAGACCATTGGATGATATAATTGAATTTACAAACGATACACATCTTTAAATGTTAAAGAGTTGAAATTGTCAATTTAGCACGAGATATTTCATAAACTCATTCTTTTTGTTAGCTTGAAATGGCGGATTCAAAACCGTTTTGATTAACATGATTCTATGAACCGTTTATAAACATTTGTTCCTTCAGGAGAGTGTGGGTGTGAGATCTGTATGTGACTGTTGCTCTCTCTTTAATAAGTTTCACACTCACACTCACACTCGCGAAGCAATACTATTTTAATCAAATTAAGTGAAATCAATAGTTGCGTGAACTAGTCATTACTATGTTCAAAGTTTGACAGTTAACAAATATTTATATTATTTATCATATATAAACAATTCTTAAGCGCATATAGATATTAAGATTTTTTACCATAAAACTTATAATTCGTTTACTTTTCTGAATAAAGTTCGATTAGAAATTTTTCAAGTACACATAAGCAATTGAGGAAAAAACAATTGCCTTTTACTGATGTTATTATATAATTATTTTAGTTTAAAAATGTAAACAATTGATTTTAAGCTTTTCAACATCTTTTACAATGTTTATATGAAATTGAACTATTTTTTTGAAAATTGCATTAATAATATAAAGAAGTGTAAATTATGCAATTGTAGATTTTTCTTTAAGATTTAGTAGTACTTATTTGGTGTAATCTACTCTACCTGAAAGCATAACTTTAGGCACAGTTGCAAATGATCTAATCCAACTCGGACTGGTCGTTCTTCATCGGTTGGCATATATTTCACATATATATATATATAACATTTTTTTCTTTGAGAAAACATGTTGAAGTGAAGGTCGAGTATACTTATCAAAACAATCGAACACAATCATTTTCATTTTGAACTATTTGGCTGCATGCACACTCCTCAAAACAGTGTTATCTGAGTTAAGCTTCTCAATTTACTTCGTTGATGTCTATCAAAACATCAAATTTAGTTATGGGTCGTGATTTGAATAAAAAAGCTACGGTTCTCTGTGAAACTTAAGAGCCCCTCGGAAAATCCGCTTTTTCGAGAAAAGCTGAAAGTTGAGTTTTTACCATAGGAAGATGCAGTGAAATTTCCTCTTTCTGAATATGTATAGATTTTTGAAAAATGATCAAATTTTAACCGACTTTCAAAGAAAAATCAACCTTACTATCGTGATTTTTCAGAACTTTCTATGGTTTTTAAAGGTTTTTCAGTTTTGGGAAAACTGCGTTTTTATTTGTATCATCATTAAATCAATCATTATATTTACTTAAGTATGACCGATAGTGATAGTTTAACTGATTTGTTAAGTGCTTTAAAAAGTTTCAATGACACATATTATGAATCTGTCATTTTAATCCGGTTTTTTTTGATATTTGAATGAAAAAATCGAGTTTCAAAGTTTTTTTATCGTTTTTCTTAAAATATGGTTTCCAAGCAGGAAAATTGAAATAACTTCTATCCGACTCAACGGTATAATCGATGTTTTTTTTTCGTAAATGTCTGAATGAGAGTGTTTCTCACTAGGACCACTCATTTCTGAAAGTTTCAGCCTAAACAGTTTGTTCTAAGTGGTAAATCAATTCTGAGAAGAGGGAAGGGCCTTAAGTGAAAAGAATTCAAGACTTAAAGTTGAGTTATCACCTATTGAGGCAACTCATTTTTTATTTTCGCGTTATGGACTGGATGTAATGGTAGAGGTGCGTCTTGTTGTCATTTATACCCACATCTTTTCGAAAAATGCAACAAGACCTATCTGAGAAGATTGATGAGCTCTTGTTTCATGCTCTTAATCATGAATAGAATGAGTTCAATGTTGCAAGCAATTGAACATAAATTTGAATTTTAGAAGGATTCGAAACTGAATTTACTTTTTTTGTTGTTTTATTTTCATTGAAATAATCAGGCGTATTAAACTCAATAAGATGAACTTATTGCTGGTGAAGCTTTTTTTTTCCAGAAATTGATGATAGATTCATATCTTTCATGATCAATAGTCCTTGAAAGAATCATCTGGATGAGTGAACCACGAAATCTCGATCTTCATGCATGTCTAATTATAAAATCACCAGATATACTTTCTGAAAATACGAAAAAATTGTATGATGAAATGCTTCGTGTTATCTTACATTCATTTTTTGCATCAAACTATGAGGTTTTTTTCACATGTTATCACGTATTAGTAGACGTAAAGGAATTATAAACGAAAGTTCGTATGACATATAAATCAAATGAATAATAAAATAAGTTCTGATAAATAAATCGATCGAAGAAGAGCAGCATTGCTTCGAAACAATCAAGAAGAATACTAAGATCGAGATTCTTGTATAAAATAAAAATGAATACAGTTGATTTCATAAATTTTATTGTCAAGAAGTATGTTGAATGTTATATTACGAATTTCACTATTTTAAGATTTCCATCAATGGAAATTAAATTATGATGAGGTCTCTTGTGATTCGATGTTTTACCATTTGACCTTTTTGTGGCATCCATGATTCAGAACAAAGAACAAACAGATAATTCCACGACTTCTCACTCTTTATAAGGAATGTGAAAACCTTATGCTTCCTATTTCTTTTCTTCTTCTTTAACACATCATCGAATAAACACAACAATATGCAACGACATCTTCTTTTACTTTTAGTATTGAGTAAGTGCGTAGTTATAGAAAGGGTTGGGGTGTGGGTGTGGGTGTGAATGAAAAGAACAATCACTCATACCGACACCCACACCCTCACAACATTTTGTTTAAAATACTCATAAATTTTCTGTATCGGTTAAAAATCTTCTAACTAATGATTATTTTTCTAGCACCATGCGATAATTGTTCACAGCCTCACCCGCAGAATCGAAAGTGTATCTGACAGTTTGAATTAGATTTCGAAGTTAAGTTTAAACGACTTGATAAATCATTTCAATAACCTTGTCATTCTTTTTCATTAAATAAAAATATGAAATACAGAAAAAATATTTTTATAATTAAAAATGTTTGTTTAAAAGTGTGACTACTATTTCCAAATTTTTCCTTCACTCCTTGTTCTTCGATTTGATCAAAAACCAAACAATTTCTATTCAATGTCATCGGTGTAAAATCTTGATCAGGTGTTATATAGAAATATTCTCTTGTAAATGGAACATAATATGGCCATTGACTGAATGGTCTTCCTGTTGCAGCTATTTTAATCCAATATGAAATGATCTTATTCGAAAATATTCGTGATGAATTATCCCAAGTACAATTGACTGGTTCGACTGAAAGATAATCACTTACAGTTCCAAATACATATGGAATTTCTGCTGTATGTACACATATACCCTTATAACGTTTTACAGCACACTCAGGATGACAATTTAAATGATACCAAAATAATTTATTTTGTGTCGATTCTAAGCCATATTTTAAATATAAGGCATTGTATAATCGATGAACATTACAATCAAAAAGATTATCTATGAGTATTAAACGAGTTATAGCACAACAACGATTTATATCAGCAGTTCGATCAGACGAACAATTCTTTAAATGAAAATAATCCACAATTCTTGAGATCCATTTTTCTTCGACATACTGAGATAATAATGCAACAGTTTCATTAAAATTTATATCGGGATATGCATAACACACTGCTATTTCATCATCATTATTACCCATAATAAGACTAAGATCTTTATTATACATTCCATTTTTAATTGCTAATGGAGGATATCTTGGAAAAAAATAATTATCAATTATTGGTCTTGTATATCGATTTCCATAAGTTGTCAATAAGTGTTCAATTGAAGAATTACGTAAACACAAAAGTACTTTATTTTGATCATCATTGGCACAATTTAACTGTTGAACAATTGAATTCGAATAATTCAAAGCATAACTCATATTATAATAAGATGAATATGTACCAGGTGAACCTAAACCTGATTGACTTATTGCTGTTCGATAAAGATTCATTGATCCTTTGACAGCACCAAGATCGATAACAGAAAGTCCTCCAGCACTTTCTCCAAATAAAGCAATATTATTCGGATCGCCTCCATAATCTTGAATATTTTTCTTTATCCAACGTAATGCAGATAACATATCTAAGTACATATAATTACCAGCTGTTGGCCATTCCGGATTTTCTTCAATTAATTCTTTTAAATACATATCTGCTAATACACCTAGTCGATAATTAATTGTGATTACAATCACTGATTGATCTGTTGGAGAATGAGCAATCATATTTGTACCATTATATAACAATGGAATACTTTGTGATGAACATCCTCTCCTATGACCACCACCATGAATCCAGACAAATATGGGTAATAATGAATGATTTGATGAAACTATGGGTTTATAGATATTCAGATAGAGACATTGTTCATCTTGTTTAGGAATATATATTGGACTAGTTTGTTGTGGACAACATGGACCAAATGATGTCGCATGAAATGAACCATTTGGAACAAGTTCTGAAGCAAGATCTATTGGTGGTTTCCATCGAATGATTTTTGCATATTGAATTCTAAAAGAATTTTATCACAGGGATGTGAAATTCTCTCTAAAAAAAATATCTACGAATTTACCCTAAATATTCAATTGAATGTTGAGTTTGTCTACCATATATTATTCCTTTTTGAGTTCGAAGTCCAATATTCGTAGAAATAGTTGTGGTAATAATAAGAAAAACTATGTGAGATAAGAGCCAAAAATGAGTCATCTAAACAATTCAGGACACAAATTAGATTTCATATATTCAGATATAGACATCAAAAAAATCGATATCATTAATAGTAGTTATTGATTCTTATTGAGAAAAATAGTTCTAAAAAGACGAACTAAAATGTGTTATCGTTTCTCTTTACATAAAAACCAATCTCTAGAAGAGAATAATCAGCTACGGAACAATAAAAGCAAAGAAAAAAAAACAGTCAAAACAATGTCATCGTCAAAAGATAATTATCTTCCAGCTGGATTTTTTCTAGTTCTGTGTTGTAGATACGACAGAATACAATGAAATTATCTGCGTTATCGAACGACAAAAATATGAAGCCATGTTTAGTATTTTATATTCTTTAATATCTCAATGGTATGACTCTGGAGGATGGATTAAAAACTTATTTTTGACTGTTTCATATTTAAATATAACACACACTACATAAAAATTAGAAAACATGGTCTGAAAGATCACATCAACTTTAAAACAGTAGTGAATCGATCCAATATTAACCTATGATTGACGAAATAATCATACAACTTCTGCAGAATTTCTTCTCTTAATTATTTAATTGTCAATCTATCGAAATTATGCTTGGCAAATTTCAAACGTAACGAAGAAAATAGAAAAAAAATCCTACACCAATCCTTTTTTTTCATCACATCTAACGTTAAAAATTTAACTAATTTTATTTTCTACTTGCGAGAATTTATTTATAAGATATGTAAACAACGTTTGAATATACGAAATTCAATTACGCGCTGTGAACAATAATCAGAAATTTGAAAAAAAAAAGAGTTTCTCAGTCAACATTGCAGTAATAATGTTGATGTTGATTACATTCGATCTATGGCATCATGATAAAGAAAGCCTTAGAAAATTTCAAAATAACAAAGTATAAAAGTAGAGACTTTTTTGATTATTTTTCGTCATTGGAATATAATTGTACATCTACCTAAAGCACACAGATATGACTTTGCATCTCTATTGACAACAATTCAGTCTACACCCAACAAGTACTAGAGCAACAATTTCCAATAATGATCTTGCTCGAGTGATATATTATCCAAACTGTGTGTTCAGTGCTATTGAATACAACGATCAAGATATACGAAAATATCGTGATTATCATAATTGGTCCTTACTTAAGGGAACCCTCCCTCAGAAAAGTCATTTTTTCGAAAAAAAACTCAATTTTGAGATTTATACATATTCTGATAGCCCTTGTAACAAACGACAACCTAGCATAATTTGCTTTGCCAAAACATGTACACTGCTCTTTTTTCTGGCGAATTTTTTTCTGAGGATGTGCTACTAAGGGATACGGAGAATACAATGTTAATGATACTTTTCATACTTTTGTTTGACCGATGGAACTGAAATTTTTATGACACATAGAACTAATGAAGATCTTTTAGTTCTGAGTGTGGGTGTGGATATCAGAGATGTCCATGGCGGCAGCAATTTTTCCGAGGACATTGAAAAACTGCATGAATTTAATAGAATTTCATTGTTTACAAATGAAACACCCCGAGACTGAATAAATCTGATGGAGTAGTACCAATATTTCTGGTCCAATACAGTTGCAGCAGTGAAAATCGAAACACTTTTTTGAAAACCATCGCGGCAGCGGCAGAGGTTCAGCCGCGATGGACATCTCTGGTGGATATCTTATCATACATACACCCCCACCCTCACCCCACGCCCACACCCAATATTCACATCAATTACTAACATAAAGAAAAGAGAAAATAAACTAATCAAGAAAAATTTCTTTATTATGTAAGTCATTTAAACTCTCGTCGACATTGAGACCTAATTGTTGAGAGTTATTGATGGATCACCATCTTTTATTTATCAAGTTCTTTGTTTTTGTTAAAACCGTTTTACTCATAATTTTGTTATTGTTTGTGAAAACAGCATACAAAGATGCAGATTCAATAGTAATATATACTGTTCAACTCTGACTGATTCACTTATTTTACTATCCCATCATGATAGCAAGCATTGATATGAATCAAATATCGCTAAACTATAAAAACAAATTTCGGACTTTTTTGAAGTCGGAATCAGAGTCGGGTTTCGAAATGAAAAAGTGTGACTCCGTTGCTCACTACAATTCAATTAATCATAGATGAAAAATGTTCATGTATACTATCATATTAATTCTTTAACTGATTTAAAAGAAAATCACTTAATGAAATTATTAATAAATCAAGCCTGTTATGGAATACTTTGTCAAAAATGTCATGATAATCACATATTGAAAATCATCAAAATGATTTAGAACCAAGTACAAAATCTTTATCGAATTCTATTAACCAATCAAACAATTAGTATTAGTATGCAGTCAAAATCAATTGAAAAACCACTTCAGATAAGCATATATGACCTCTCACATGTGCTCAATCACTTACTCTCGTTAAGCAGCATCAGAGAGACACAGAGAGAGAAGAAAGGAAGACGAAGAAGAGCATGAGTGTTCTGTCTCTTTCTCTATCTATAAAACGAATCGCACTACGTAAGTATTGCCACAAACTTTCTCTACTGGTGCCTTTTTGTTTTCAAAACTCCAAATAGTTTAATTTTTGACCATCACTATTAAAATGCTGGACATTACAAACAGTAAAGAACAAAAATTAAAATATGATGAATTAGTGTTACTAGGGTAAATCCAAAATTTCACCATGTTTAACAACAATAAATGATGACGGATCGAGTTGATTGATTTTAACTGCTTTAGAAAGTTTCTCCGGCGGTTCCATAAAATATTCATTTCCCAATTTCCATGTACCCCAGTGAATACCAATTGATTTTTTTGATTGAACATCAATATGTATTTCAACAGCTTCATCTGGTGACACATGATGAGCTTGCTTTATCCATTGTGGTTCATAATTACCGATCGGTATAGCGCTTAAGTCGAATGGGCCATATTTTACGCCAATTTGTCGAAAAATTGAAATGTTATGAGTATAACCTGTATCGCCGGCAAAGTAAAATTTGTGTGTAGCATCCCAGACAGCATAACCGCCCCACAAAGATTTATTTGTGTCGAATGCAGTACGACCACTCCTAGAGGAGAACATAAATGTGGAAACCTCGGATTTAAATCCGAGAGTTATGTGTACTTCAAAAAGTGAATGACACAGAGGAGTCATTCTAGAATGTATGGACATAAAAATTATCCTGGCAAATCTTTTCTATAAACACTTGATTTCTATTGGATACTGCTCAACCAATAGGATTTCGAGGCAAACGGAGCTTAGATTGGAGTTCTCCGACCCGGAAAACCTCGAACTATCATCTGTGTGATCGAAAGAGAGAGCTCTAATTGTGGATCAATTAGAGTGTGATGGACACAAACAGAACCAATTTCCGTTTAATTATCTTTGCAATAGGT